TTTGTACAATTTTAATACCAGTGACGTAATTTTAGTTACCATTATAGATATATGTATCTACTTTATTTTGATCATTGACATATTTAAAGGGAAATTTTAAATAGTAGGAGCTGTAATCCCAACTAAAAAATGAATTGGTTTTCAATAATTTGTTATATATTGATATATATATATTAATGTATATATGTATATGCGTACAATATGTATATATAAATGAACGTACCAGCTTTCTTACCCGCAAGATTTCGTCATTAATCTAATAAAAACTAATTTCCCCGTTAATGGTATTTTCATTAATTGCTGTTAGCTTTCTATGTTTAAGAGGACGTTTTCTAAAAGATAAAATATCACCTGTAAACGATATCATAAATCTAATACGAATGCCAAATTTACCTGTTGATGAACGGTGGGTTTAGAAATTTGCTGTAGTGCCTTATGAGAGATACCATTTACGAGTAATAACAATTTAAATGAGTTTGATTTGAGTCAGGTTTGTAGATCCATTCGGATTCCTTCTGAAACAATATAGGAAACGAAATATCCTATCTACACCACACAGTCAAAAAGTACATGGATGAAATCAGAAGTTTAAGCAGATCATTTAAGCAGTTTTTATCAACTTTGCCACAATACCGCAACTTTTTACCTACTTACTTTACCTTAACTATGTTATAGGCTTTAACCTTTTGATATTTATTAGACTTAATTCATAAACAACGTGTTAATATTTTAGATTATTCAAACATACATAAATATCTAGTGAAATAAATCAACTGGTACATATAAAATCTGTTTAATGCAAAGGATTAATATCAACCTTTAATGAGTATTTCCGATGTAATAATTCGTATATTTTAAGCCCAAATAAAATAACTAAAAAAATACCACAGTAAAAATAATTAAAAACACAAAAAAAAAAAATATTTTGAAAATTATTGCTGACTAAGAAAAGAATGCTGAACTTGAATAATAGTCTTACGATTGTTACACATTGACTTAATTAATATTTTGCTTATATTTAAATATTATAATTAATATTGCATGGAAATATCACAACTTGTGTGACATTCTGTATGTACGGTTTGCCAATGTTTATGATCTCTGCTATATCTAAACAAATATGTATCCAAAAATACAATTTATGCAACCGATTTTATGTATTTCTAGTTTGGAATAGTACAGATTCTTTTATTATTGTGAAACAAAATCAAACTAAAGGACCCAACAACTTTAAGCACCGATTACATTTTATATTAAGAAGTGGAATATTTGAAGATTTCCTTCAAATGTTCAACACAACAAAACTCAATTAAAATCTTCAGCCTTTGATGTAAGTTGTATTTGCTGTCACATTTGCCCTTTCATGTTGATAAATGCGAAATGCAAATCTCTTTTCGAAGCCACTTCACAGCTTTACGTCCAAAAGCCAAATATGTTTATTTGCAGTGTTGTAGCTAAATCCCTTCATATTCGATATAAGTAAAGATGCATTAACTTTTTAGCAATTATTTTGTTTAATGGGTAGTTATTCCTTGTTAAAGAGAGGAGTTCAAACTATTGTGTTCGAAGTATCATTCATTGTTGAAAACCGGGTGTGTTCTATTTGTGCTTTCATACTATAAACATATTTATATTTTCTAATCGAATCTTCGATACAAATTTAAATTAATAACTTATACAAATGCAGGGAACAATTTTAAACATTTTAATTAATCTTTAGTAACATGCTATTGTAGGGAAATTGTTTTATATAATAATTGTTTTTTTATTAACAGTTAAATTGTTGTTTATTATGTGAAACAATTGGTCAACGTTTAATTTTACCTATTTTCAAATAAAAGGTGTTGCAGTGAATTGAATTGCTCCAAAAACATCTATTTTTAACATTTGCGTTATGTATTAATGAAGAAAATGTCATTGAAATAATGGTATTATTATGTGATAAAATTTGTTTTATTTCGGGCTTGGATATTGTAACAATCCTACTTCGAAGAGCTTAATCTCTTCTCATAACGTGTGGATATTAAACTGCCAGATAGAATGGAGAAAATTCTCAAATTCTATACCTTTATCTTACGAATTACCAATTTACGTTTCACGATGGAAACTAAAACGAAAGTAAAGTAGACAAATGTCAAAATCTCAATAACACTTGAAACCACTTTTTAAAATATCTTAAAAGTTTTTCTACGCTTAGCATTGTTTGGAAAGCTGGGTGAAAGTAGTGTTCTTGAAGTAATACGAGTTCATCCTTTGGCAATAAATTACATTAGTAAACAACGCAGGCAACTCTTTTTGAACGAGATTTATTTTCTTCGAATACATATTAAGTCATGTTTTAACTGCATAATACGATAACATAATTTAAACAGCAGCTCATCTTGTCTATTGACATGCCGTATTTTTAATCCTTTATAACTGGATTGAAAATGTATAAGTTTATTTCTTGGTTCATCCATATTTGACATTGGAAATATACGTAAAATGATAGACTTTCTACTGTATTTTGAAATGTTGAAGTGTTCTGTTATTACTTAACTAGTATATGAAAGCTTGGTTATTTTATTATGCAATACTTCAATCAACACTTAACAGCGGTATTGAATGATTTTAGTACTTAAATCCAGAAATAATTTCTCTGGTATAAATTAGATTTCATTGTTTGTTTACTTCCCCACTTGTAAAATATGATGTAAAAATTGCCTAGTCTGTCGTTAAAATCAGTTAAATATTACATTTGGATTCACATTTATACTCAACTTGTATATTATTTCTTGTGTGGATGTAGAAAAAAGATTATACCACAAAGCTAAAATCAGTTGGGTTGGTTTTTAAAAATTAATTTAATGAAGATTATCATAAGTAAGATAACCTAGTATTGAGCCTTTAAGGTTATAATCCGTTCAAGTACAAATCGCCTGGCATATGATATATTATACAGGGTATATAGTTGTAAAGAAAAAAAATACAAAACTGGGGTGGACTCATGGTCCAAGCACGTCAACCGAAGCTTATTGTGCATAAAGCTTATTGTGCTTTTAATCTTAGTTTTATATGATAAATAGTTAGAATACATGGTAAATCATGGATTTTTTAGCAGGTTTGGATCAATCAATTTGCTATGTTTTTTTGTGGCATTGCAATACCTATGGAAGTTTCAGTGTTATTTTAATATTCAGGTCAATCACATTCATTATAAGCCAAGTTAAATTAATCACCAACACTCTAGTGAGTCAAAAATTCCTTATAAAATATTGTAGTAGAAACTTTTTTAGAGCGTCTTAAGGTGAAAATACAAAATTTTTCTGTATACCTAGTTATAAAATTATAACAATCCTGTATTGGATCTCTTCAAATGGTACAAAAAAAAAAATTGTCTGGTATATTGCAAGAACGGTACATGCAAATATCTCATTTAACCTTTGTAGTGATCACCTAAATACTTACTGTTAATTGCTCTTTGCTCCATACAACTGAACTTTGTGTGCGAATCAAACAAAATGACATAAAACCGATTGAAATCTGTCCTTTGATGTGAAGTGAGTGTTTGACTGTCGCAAAGGTCATTTCATGTTTACAGTAAAATACGAATTTTCCCCAAAACGTTACTTCACAGCCTTCGTTTGGGTAAAATATTGTGTTTCTTTGCATTCTTTCTTGGATGAAAATAGTAAATAGTTTGAATGAAAACAAGTATTAAGATATTAAGTTACATTTAACGAGGTCTTCGTAAAAACAATGAGACAAGCATTAGACGTATAGAGACATATTTTGTTCAAATAATCCACTTGACGTGAAAAAGTATTGTAGTCATAATTTTAACATGTTTTTTTAAGATGTAGTCATAATGATTTGTACATAACAAGTAAAAAAAAACCCTTTAAGTAATGTTTAAAGCTCAAAGGTTGGTAGAACCTTTTCAGTAAATGTTGAGTAGTGAATGGTTCAAACATAATTACTTAGATTAACATACCTACATACATACCTACATCTAATTTTAGACTATACATACAGTTTACATAATATAAATATAATTTATTCTGAATCATTACGTTTCACATGTTTGGTGTGTAAGATATAAAATATGCATAAAAGTTCAGAGATTTCAACTATGCATAGTAGGCCATAACTACAAAAAATCCAAACTAATACTTGATGTATTTTATGTACTGTAATAATTGTAACTTACGGCTACGCAAATCTTTTACACTAATTGTAAAAAAAAGATGAAATAGCTTTATGGCAATAAATATCTAGCTTATATCACATGTTGTATTTACATTTAAAATAATAAGTCTGATTAATTCAATAATATTTACATAATCACATGGACATAAGGATATTGAAATACAGTATTGAGAAATTGAAGTCTAATTCTTATACTTTCACTTACTAGTTATGGTAATTATTATTTTATTACTTGCATAAAAAATAGTGAATATCATACATTATTGATACAATATTGATATTATTGAAATCTTTATATAAAATATAATAATATAATCATCAGTTATCCTCGAAACGAATGAAGAGAGCCTTGTTCAATATTATGCCCCGTGTAATGCCTAAGATAAGGTAATTTCTATTATTAAACGTAATGCAATTTCTAGGTATTCGTTTTGTCATAATATTAGTGACCTATTCTCACCCTGACATTAATCATTATCAAGTCAAATTGTGTTTGATCCCCTAAAAGAGGGTTCTCTAATGACACAGAAATTCCCTATCAGAAATACTGATGTATCCTTTAATGATTTTTGTCTAACCAATTTGGTAAAATATACTCCGGACCTCCAATGCATCACTGTTATAAGATATTTAAACATCAGTTATAAAAAATAGTGATTTTAATACGAGTCGAGATAGATATACCTTATTTCCTACAATTATACTGACTAATAAAAAAACATCTATAAACGCAAAAGTTTTTATAATTCATAAGAGATAGGTTTTATATATAGATATGTGTGTGTGTAACGAAAACGTATTATTGTCCTCAGGTGTTGAATGTGGAAACTGCGAAGGACATTATCCTGCCTCGAAGGACCTTGCGGAATGTGAGAGTTTATCACCAAGATGGAGTTAAGCGGGTTTGCAGCCCTTATTGTACTTACTGCCCTTTGCGCAGGTAGGTTGATATTACTTACCTTCTGTAAGTAGGCTGTAGCTTACAACTTTATCCTTTGTAATAATTACCTCTGTAATTGTGCCTGCATGGGTAATTCATCGGATATCCATATGTGTTTGCATAGTTAGTTAACAGTTGTGCAGAGATTTAAGAAAACTTTTTTGTCGTTTTGGATTTTTAAATATGTATTTTTACCTTGTTAAGTTCCTATGACTGGAAGTAGCAGCCAGAGAAAGAATGGAATTTGTAAGGAAGAAACAGTAGTAAATAAAACATAAAACATAAAACTAAACTATTAGACAACAAATGGAATGTACAATGCTTTTCTTTTCACAAATTGTGTTTTTTATTTATTTTTTATTTGGTTGGATAGCATTACAATCACAGTGAATTCTGATTAAATGCACTGATAGCATTACAAATAATGCGTTGTTCCTCTGATTTGTCGATGGAACAACCAGTTCCACTGTACAGGCGAATAATTGTTACACCGACAAAACTAGCAGCTCGTGTCATTGTTGATAGATATTAATTGAATGAGGGATACAAGCAATCTGAAAACCGGATTTGTCTGTCAAACTGATGTTTATGGTAGTGGAATATTGTGTTGTGATTGGAAAGATATCCGATTTTTCGACGTTCGTTAATATTTGATCATAACCGGTAATACACCAATATAATACAAGTAAGTTAAAAATCTGTCTAAATTGAACAGTTATAGAATTGCTTTTGTAATGTCACAAGTGGTGTTCTATCCTACAACGTAAGTGGTATTTTTCCGCTATTGATGTTTTAATTAATTACTGTATTACTAGAATTACAAGATAACAGGCACTGAAAGATGTAAATATGTAATCCAAGCTAATTAAAACTAGTGAAGCGAAAATAAATAATATGGTACTGTCAGTGATAACCGAAATCATACAAATATAAAAAATAATGCAACTAACAATAAATAACTGACCGAGACCTTAAGAAAAAAGATAAATTACAAGATAGACTATTCCTAGTAACAAATAGTGGACTTTAAAACAAGCAAAAAAAAAGTCATTAATACCAACAAAATATACGAAGGAAATTAAGACTTAAGTTTGATTGCAAATCAAAAGGAAGCTATTCAGTTGTGTAGTTTCTTTAATGTTATGTAGAATTGTGTCAACCATTCCGTTTGAACTAATTTTATTCAGTCCTGCCAAGAATGTCTGAAATTCAGAATATTGATAACATATTAAATGTTTCCTTTAATAGGAATTGTCCAGGTTTATACATCGATCTTTATCGATAGGTTTATATTTTCAAATAGGTTTTACCTATGTTTGATAGATACATGCATGTTCCTAGACCATTGACGGATTTAATTTTCATAATAATTTTTTTGTTCTCTAGACCGGTGGCATTTTCAGTTAGAGAAGAGAGAGTGTTAGCCAAATGCTTTTTGGGAATGTCGTCCAAACCCATAAGATTTGTATGATGTGCCTGAAATCGAACCCTTTCTTTCCGCACTGAAGTCTGAATCGCTAACCATTAGGCTAGCAACACACAGAAAATAGCATAGCATTTAATACAACATTCAAGTATATTTAAGTTCAATATCTATATTGGGCTCAAAACCTATTGCGATTTCTGAAACTTCTTGTAGTTGTTTACAAAAAAAACCTTGTTGCATTTTAATTTCTTTGGCAAGGATAATATATTTCCATATTATACATTCGCTATATTAGTTTTACGTTGGGAATGATGGGTAAATCTAGTTATAATAGATGAGGGGGTTGTGAGTGAGGGAGAGTATAGTAGAGATATAATCAGTAATCAGGGCGCTTCTGACAATCACTGACGTTTCCATCCCCTGTTATTGACAGCTTGTGGTGATGCCTCGTCAAATAATTGAAGCATAGGACCCCCATGTATATCTAGCTGTATGGCTTTTGAAATTACTATATTCGACAAAAACATAAACTTAAAAAGATCGTAAATAAAAAAACAACCTAATTTGAAGTCTTCATTTTCTTAGGGGTGTCATAAAATAAACTTACTATAAGTAAATGCAACTCAATTATTGGGAAATTAAACAAATCTGCTATTAGACCGGGTTAACTTGTGCAATTTATAAACAATATCATCACTGGTCCAAGAGCCAATGTAAAAATCGATATAAAATAACGTGGTAATCTGTAAGTTATCAAAACAATTTTATATATTTGTATAAATAAATAAAATTAATTATTAAAATATAACGATGTTACCATTAATCGTACAGTACTTTAGGGGTCAATATTTACTTCAATCAATGAAAATCAACTTTATCATAAAAATAAAAACATACCGGAAAATAAATGGAAAACTGCACTGATGTATGTCATAAATAAAAACTCATTTCACGTATTTTAATACAAATAAAACTGTTTCAAGGTGTTTTGAGTTCAGAATATGCCAGGCTGTTTAATCAAAACCACGCGTATATGATCCAGTGTTATTTATGCAGATCTTGTATAGTAGTTGGACCTCACGCTCCAGGGAATAATGCTGTATAATAGTAGGAATAATTCCCTATATCTCCGGAGGTGTATTGTTTTTGTATTCATACATTCACAATATAACAAATTGAACAATTTGAACTTATATAACATTTAGTTTATTGTAATTGCTAATTAAAGTGACATATTACTTCTAAATACAACTCATCTATAAAACTCTATACAAAACCTAAAGACAGGAAGTTAAGTTAACATCCTGATTATGATACTTTTAAATTTAATCAGTTGTCTTTATTATATATTCCATTTGATAATTTTATATTTATAATTACATATATGCTTTACAGTTACATAAAATCTTCTAAAATGTAATTTATATGCTTTAACATGGAACTAAATGTTAATACGATTATTTTCAAATTAAATAAAAGCCATTCGTAAAAAGGAGTCAAAATGAATTAATTTGAATCTCGCTTTTTGAAGATGGAAAGAGAAACTCACTGCCATCTACATTATGCAACTTTGAAGTGACAATTCGCACGTAGCTTGACTTTAAATTGTGTTACAAACTTTCAACTCCGCCTTTTACAGCCCTGCTATGTTCAGTTTTGGAACGCAGATTTGAATATGATTTATAACTCTATGCTTTATTCTTTTAAAGATATCTTAATGTTTAATAGTATACATTTTACAACGTGAATGGGCTTAGTCTTAATTCGTATGCAGGGTGTTAAAAAAAGGTGGGAACATAAATACGTAGTTCCTCTGGCTAAAATAAAAAAAAAAACATTATATAAACCTGTCGTATCTCGAAAATACTCGTTTTTAAGCACCTTTCTGAATAGATGTGTGAAAAAATCATTCTTAACTTCTTAACGATTTGAAATAAAGCATTGAATTTCTGCAAATATGATATTATTCCGGATTCATTTAAACAACAATCCACAAAATAGATATAGTCTATAACCTCGAAATAATGGTTAGTGTTAAAAAATACTTAAGGATATCTTACAAAATAGGGACAAACATATATGATAAATGTAGTCCACAAATGTATTAAGCATTTTAAACGAGCAAAAAAAAAAAAAAAAGGTTACAGCAGACATTATGGCCACATTAAGAATAATCGAATTTAAAAAAAGATCATTCATCAACATAAAATTAAAGTAAAAACTGCACAGTCCGGAAACCAAAAGTATCTTTACAAATATGTTTTTCATTATCAGATTCTATATCCAGAATCTTTTATGCGTATATTCTAATAACACGTGATAGGGAATTAATTTAGAATATGTTAGAATGTGTACTAAATATCCACCTACAAACATAAAATAATAGTAAATATTTTTTTATGCATAAAAAGACGGAAAAGGAGTATCTATTGAGCATCCTGCCGTCACTCTCTCTGGACGATGCTTTGTCAAGTTCAATGCCACTGTCGTCTGACCACAGTGTAGTGTTGAGTGTCTAATGTGTAGCTGTAAACTAGAGTTTACCTCAGTGACGTCACAAGATGTATGTCGTATATTACAAGTAATTACATCCTGATGTCACTGTCTCTGGACGATGCTTTGTCAAGTTCAATGTCACTGTCCTCTGACCACAGTGTAGTGTTGAGTGTCTAATATGTAGTTGTAGACTTAGAGTTTTACCACAGTGACGTCACAAGATGGATGTCGTCTGTTACAAGTAATTACATCCTGCCGTCACTCTCTCTGGACGATGCTTTGTCAAGTTCAATGCCACTGTCGTCTGACCACAGTGTAGTGTTGAGTGTCTAATGTGTAGCTGTAAACTAGAGTTTACCTCAGTGACGTCACAAGATGGATGTCGTATATTACAAGTAATTACATCCTGATGTCACTGTCTCTGGACGATGCTTTGTCAAGTTCAATGTCACTGTCCTCTGACCTCAGTGTTGTGTTGAGTGTCTAATGTGCAGTTGTAGGCTAGAGTTTAACCACAGTGACTTCACAAGATGGATGCCATTTATTACAAGTAATTACATCCTGCTGTCACTGTCTTTGGATGATGCTTTGTCAAGTTCAATGTCACTGTCCTCTGACCTCAGTGTAGTGTTGAGTGTCTAATGTGTAGTTGTAGACTAGAGTTTTACCACAGTGATGTCACAAGATGGATGTCGTCTATTACAAGTAATTACATCCTGCTGTCACTGTCTCTGGACGATACTTTGTCAAGATAATTGCCACTGTCCTCTGACTTCAGTGTGGTGTTAAGTGTCTAATAATGTGCAGTTGTAGACTAGAGTTTTACCAAAGTTAAGCCAGAAGATGAATGTCGTTTATTACAAGTAATTACAACCTACTGTCACTGTCTCTGGCCGATACTTTGTCAAGTTCAATGTCACTGTCCTCTGACCTTAGTGTAGTGATAAGTGTCCAATGTGAAAATTCATTAGTATAATCAATCATAGATGCGCTACAGATTTAATAACTTGTAACTGTAAATGCAGAATTAATTTTTAGCGACATGTATTCTCTATTGACTTTACAACTGGGCATGATT